ATAAATGGCTACGTGGATATCTTCTGATGCTGCAAACAAGATCTAAGTGGCTGGATATAAAGCACAACCTACAACCTGATGATCTCGTCTTAGTTAACAGTGCTGACACACAGAGAGGTCTCTGGCGAAAGGCTATAGTTAAGCAGATGTACTATGACCAAGATGGCCACGTCAGGACACTGTTTGAAAACTTCAACTCAAGAAGTGGAACAAGATATAAGAAGCGTACGAAAGGTCAACGTGGTGATCGTTCGCGGGGAGTGTTAATCGCGACAGATAGATAACTGTATGATAAACAGCCAATCAATATTATGTGACCTTTTTTGTCGCGATTATTGGCCAATTTATTGTAACTCTCACCACGTGATGACCTTGAATGTTCTTTTTCGTCTGTCACTCTATTTTTGTATACATGTAATTAACTGACTGTTCATTTTGTCTGTACCTTCAATACTGTTCGGTACGTTTTTGTCCGTTTTTTGTAATGACGGTGGATTTGTACATTTTCTTGGTGTAATTTTATGATTTATTTTATGTTTTAGAAACAGATAAAGTTAAGTCAAGTCATCCTGTTTTTAACTATAGCTAAGCCGAGACTCTGTATCGTCAGTATTGAGGAAGGACTAAATCTGTAGGACAAAAATAATCCTACAATGTGACTGTAACTTTCTCACAGTTCTAGGTCATGAAAATGTAACTTTCCCATCAGACTGAATAGTTCTCTTGATCTTGTATTTATAAGTGTCTCCGGAATATACGAAGCTCGTAGAAGAGCCCCAGTGTTTAACTCAGATCATTGTATTGTACGAGTTTTACCTAAATTTGTGGAAAGTTACAGAAGAGAACTTTTTCGCACCTATCCAAGAAAACTGTGCATAGATATTACTCTATGGAGAATGTTCAGAATCTTAGGGGCATGCTCAAAGGCACAAGATGGAACTTGTTTAATGAAAACTTTCTTGATGACACTATATCTAATATTACATGTTTTATCAAATTTTGTTTTGACACCTTTTGTCCCAGAGAAACGCTCTGCATCATATTTGACCGTTTCTCCTCCCCTCAACCTAAAAGGCTTCTCAGTCAAAATAAAAATTTATATAAAATGAAGGATAACATTGGCTGGAAAAGAATTAACATCCTAATCAAGCCTGAAATGCACAAATTGAATTCAATTTACAACCAGAAGTTTAAATCCTGTAAAGATGCCTCTAATGCATGGAAACTTTTCAAAGAAATTACTGGTGGTATGCAGATGAATGGCATTCCTTATTCCTTTTATGTTTGCACACTACACAAGTCTTTCATGCATTCTCCCACAAATGCCAAGCTTTCTGGTGTCCCAGTTGTTAACGAAACCTGTTTCCCTGGTTTCAATACAAATGACGTTCTAAAATGTCTCCAGTCGCTGAACGCTTCTTGTAGCCTAGGTCTAGATGGTGTGCCTAGCCTTATTCTCAAAAAATTTGCAGATATCCTGTGTTGTCCTCTCACAGACATATTCAATGAATCTTTTTCCAGAAATGTCGTCCCAGCCGTTTGGAAGGACACTGAAATTGTACCTATACCTACGTCGTCTACTGGAACATGTTTTAAATTTAGATCTATTGCTATTGCCTCTTCTTTTCCAAAAACTACGGAAAAGTTACTGCTACTTAATCTTCAACCTCCACTTAAAGCCTTTAACGATCCCAAACAATTCGCCTATAAACACAGTTGAAGTGCTATAGATGCAGCTGCAGTTTTGCATCATAACAATGTCTCAAGTTTAGACAAGGGGGCTAAATTTGTTCGCTGCACCTTCCTAGATTATACATCTGCTTTCGACTCAGTACCTAGGGGCATTTTGTTAAACAGGCTTGCTGAAACCCAAACTGACTGTTGGGTTGTCAAATGGCTGCATTCTTATTTTTCAGGAAGAAAGCGGTAGGCCAGGGAAAGTTGTCCACGTCATTGCTAACTGAGGCTTATGTCCCTTAAGGCACTGTTCTTTCTCCTTTTCTGTTTTCTTTCTACTTGCATGATTTGCCTCACTCTGACGAAGAATGAACTTTATTAAGCATTAGTGTCTGTTAACTTCCATCTAGACTGTACTAAGATGAACAGCTTTCTACAAGGAGTTAGCAAATGGTCTTCGTCCAATGGTCTTAAACTGAATCCTTCCAAATGTCAGACTGTTAATTTCAATTTCCGATGTAAAAGAAGTTAAATGAAGCTGTTAATTGCTATGGCCGCTGTTTAATTGATGATAGTGATATAGAAATCAAGTCTGACGTTATGTATCTTGGACTAATTCTTTCTTCTGATCTATCCTGGTCTTCCCACATCTTAGAGATTTCTAATAAAATATTTCCTCTGACATTTTACATTAAGAAGTTAAGGCATTCAGGCATAACCCAACCCCTCCTCTTACAGTTTGTCAACTCGTGCATCTTACCTATTCTTCTTTACTGTTCACTTGTTATTCTTTCCTGGATTGCTTAAAAAAGACTATGTCATACTTCGTAGAACTCTGAAGACTGTCAGTAGGGCGAGTGGTATCCCATTGGGCCATATCGTTGACATTGTCACTGATAGGCACTTGATGTCATGCAACAAATTCGCTAAAGGAATTTTGTCAGACTCTGAGCATCCACCTCAGCACCCTCAGCTCCAACCTTCTGTCTCCTCAGGTAAAATAAGAAATCTTTTCAGAAGTCTTTATGCACGTACATCTAGGTACAAAAATTCCACTACACCATATTTGGCACGTAATTTATGTGAGGCATGAGCTTACTAACCTTCTTTGCACTACTAAAGAAACCGTTTCCTCTACCTTTACAACGTTAAGCTTCATTTTTATTGTACTTCTTATATTTATAACCCTCTCAATCTTTCGTTTCTATTTGCTTATTTTTTCATAAGTGTGAATATCATTTAAGCTGTGTTATAGCTGCTAATTTTGTATTCCCCCTCACCATACTATATCAACAGAACATTAGATTCAATAATCTTTAATATCCTAAAATTTCCAAACTGAATCGACAATACTGTTTGATACAAACTCACTGTTATTACTATTATTATCATATTTAATGTTCTCAATTCGTGCTTCGAATATTTTTGACTTTATATCGTAAACGTGGACAAATTTCTCTGGTTAATTTTGTTTTAATTTTATTTATATTCTGAGTAAATCAGGTGCAGTGTGCGTCGGTGGCGTAGCGGTTAGCACACTCGCCGACCATGCACATGGTCCGGGGTTCGATCCCCGGCCGACGCACTCCTTTACCTCGTTGAGCCAGAAATAATGCTGGTGAAGAGGAAAGGTTGGGCATGAGGCTAGCAACCCCATCCTGTAAAATAAACACTGCTACAGAAACTTCAAGCCATTAGCTTGAAGCCCTATGTTCCACTGGGGAACGTGAAGAAAAAAAAATCAGGTGCAGTATTGTGACAAATGCTGGGAATTCTATTCTGTACTCTAAGTAGTGTCTATTTCGGAATAAATTAGATTATTATCACTATTGAATAGACTCTTTGATGATTTCATTCACTTAACGGTAGCTTCGCAGTTATCCGTAAATATTTTCCGTGTATACCTACCTGTTCAGAGATGAAAAGTTGAGCACTCCGGAATATCGTCTTAATTGCCAAGATTTTCTGAACGGTGAGGATTAATTGGGAGGTAATTAAGGCTGAGCTCAGACTCGAAGTTGCCTAATATGAAAAAGTATGTAGAAGAGGAAGATTTTGATACTATATTTTCGGCAAACTGAATATACACACAAAAGTAGTTATACATATTGTAGCGGTAAATAATTCCCCAAAATTATTGACCACAGCAATCATCACTCAACATTGGATGCTGACCCTCACTGTTTAAGTCGACTTGTTTAGCTGAAGGCTTCCGGTCAAGCATCCCCGCCATTTGGTACTCCGTCGTGTCACGTGCGTGCACGATTACTAGCTAGCTAAGCATTCACTTCAACCCGCGATTTGGTCCCGAAATATATTGCGTACTTTGGACGGCTAAATCTGGTCTTTTGCTTTATCTTTCGTACTCGAAGAACGAACACTATAGAAGTTGTTGGTATAAGATCTTGCGTTAGTATAATCCGTACAACTCGCTAACGTCGATACCTGTAACCTCTAAAATATAATTGCAGCTGTGCAGTCAACAGAGTGGTTTAGCCGAAAGAATCTTTTTCTTCAAATATTTTTTCCTTTTCATAAATGCTGACAGAGATTTATTTACGGTTCTGCGAAACTCTTCTTGCCTCCTTCTTAGTCAACTAATTATTATTCTGTTCATCGCTGATTCATCAAGTACCTACGATATTCAAATATGAATAGGAATGATAGTCTTTAGCATCTTTCAAAGGTAATAAATATATTTCTGAACCTGATCATTTATTTTGAGAACCCCATCGGTTCAACGGGGAAAGGATAACTTGGCACAAGCTGGTGTGTCTAATAGGACCAAAGATGACTCGAAGTAAACCTGCCTACTAACATTCTCAATCTGTCTAATGTTTTCAAAAACCACGGATAGGCATCTGATGAATTATCTATGAGCTGTTTAAGAATGCGCTCTGAATTTTATACTGACCATAAAAAACATCTAAGCTATATTAGCTGTTTCTCGATCACTCTGCAGTATGACGCTGAAGCAGGAGATTCAAGATATTTGTAAGAGACGCAGATAGCTATAGACATCATATGCGTATACATCTAATACCAGTTGAGTGGCGATATTTTAACCAGATTGCAAGAACCGATAGTCATTATTGTAGTTACTGATTGAAAAGTATGATCTCCATCTGATTTCACATCTGTCATCAAATCCAATTAAGCAGATTGTATGTCACCTTCGACAACGAAGTGGAAACATCAGAAAAATCATACAGTTTCTGATGATAAAACTCGAAATAAATTGTCTGTCAGGGTTGTTTATGGCCAAAAACCTTAATTTGTAAAACAACAACTCAGAATTTTGAATTGTACATTGAATCAAGGTTAACTGCTCAACGGCTACCCGTGAAGGTCAGCTCCACCAAATGAAAGAATCATCATAGTGTTGAGATATATCGTGAGCCTACTTCATACGTCTTCTTGACTGACTGTTGTAATAAGTGGACATTTTAAAACTTGCCGTTAGTCATCTTATTTGTAAGCAATGATTTGTCAATAAATATTCGGTTGTCGGAATTTACTTTCATTCTTCAGACAAGTAATATATGCGACCACTTGTTATGCGTGAAGAATTTTTACATTGTGTTGAATAACTGCAAACAGTGTGCTTGCACTATTTTGTACTCCTGAGTCTTGTCTAAGGCCAATGAATAACAAACGGCTCTGTGTCAATAGAAAATCCCAAAGCAATTTATCATTGCTTCGTAGTTCTCCAGGTGGTATCCTTTTCTCAAGTGTAGCCGGTGGTCCTCTACATGTTCATTCTCCAGACAGAAATTCTGAAAACTTTGCTGCAAAGTCTACTGATGGTGAATATGGAAGAGTTGCCAACCCTGTATCTTTGTTTAATAGTTTGTTAGACCCTAATATAGAATTGCCAACCATCAGTGTTCGCGAAGTTGATGAAATACTAAGCAGTTTAACAACTCCAAATTCCTCTCCAGTCAAGACAGCAGGCGGTACTTCTGGCATAATCAATGCCCATCCCAATTACTGTGATACACGTGATAGTCTGTGTCATAATGTTGCGGAGCACAACAATAAACAGTCATTAGAGAAGAACTTATTTGATGGGGTAGGATGCTCACCAAATCCTGTGGAAGCGAGTAGTGTAAAAAATGCAAACATCACAGAACGAAACCTAAATGGTATTTCACAAATTTGCATTAAAAGTAGTGCAGCGGGTAGAATATCTACTACGTCAAGTACATGTCGTAATGCAGCTGAAAATTTGTCTGGTAGCAAATATACTCTTGGGAATTCTTCTTTGCGAAGTATGAGTTTCATGTGTCCTGAGAGAAAGCGTCACACGGATACTGACCTACGTACGAATCAAACTAACCGTAAAAATAACACGAAAACTGTATCTTTGCAGTCAATGATGGATATCCTACCATTATTTCCATCTTGCCGAAGTGTAGCTGAATTAGGTGCTTTGGCACTTGGGCCTGAATCCGAAAAAACAACAGACCATAGTTTCCATAAACAAAAATCTCCTGTGTCATTGCATCCCAAAGCATGTTCGGGTACCAACCTGTGCAAACCACCCTTTAAAATGCCAGTTTCTAGTACTTCTCGTGATCGTTCTCCTATTGGTAGTTTGGATCTAGCTACTCATAGTAGATACCAAAATGGAAGTGCTTCAAGTGTTCAAGAAGCGACTAAGTACCGACAGGCCTACCTTTCTGTACGTAAAGCGAATCAAGCCAAGGTTTTGTCAAAATCCACTACAACTGTACCATCCTCCGTTCTTGAGAACAAAAACCAAGACACACCGAAGAATCATCATGTAAGTCGAACTATTCACAGTTCATTTTCACTGTATTTCATTTGAATATATGTCTATTTAACTTGTGTTTCGAATTGTTTTTCTGAACTGACTTTGTGATCAAACTGCTAGTAATGTGTATTAACACTGAATTATTCGCTAGGCAAAGCCTTAGTATTTTAGTAACTGTGTTTTCCTCTCTTGTCCAAACAAAAAGCGGCTTCAAGGTAAATACATATATATCAAGATTGAAAGAAGACTGTTGTGAAATAGTTTTATTAGCACTTTTTCTCTAGATTATGAAGTCACTTGCAAAATTAGAGCTATTTTATTTGCTAGCAAGCTAAATGTTTCCTTATTTCCACACTTCAAATGACAATAAACTTGTAAGAAGTAATCTAACTATAGCCCCACTTAGTTTCGTTTCCACTGTTCGTCAAATATGGCTTTTATTTTGTGTAGTTCATTTACAGGGCCCTGGAAATAGTATGTGTCAACTAGAAGCATGTGTTATTTTTTGTTCTAGTCGGAAAACAAAATTCTAGTGTATAAACAAAGCTTGTTTCAGGCGTCAGAAGCAAATCACCTGTTTGAAGTAGAATTTCACAAACGGAGAACGGCTGAGAAAGCTATTGAAAACAGCGATCTTAAATAATGGTCTATAGTCTATGTTGGTGGTCAAGCCAAAATTTGACATCAGTCCATGAAGTCTTCGACGGTTAGTTTGAGCCACGTAGAATTGGTGTGGGCGGACTGATTGGGGTCTTGGAAATGGTAAGAACCGATTGCTGAAGACTATTGGTCATATGGTTCAAAATCTTTCTCACCAGCACAGATGCATCCACTCTTTTTTAATCTGCCGTGTCCATTATAATGTTTTTCCATGTTGCAGTACTTTCTCTTATAAGTGTTTTCTTTCAATTGCTCGCGTTATGTGGCACAATATGGTAAGTAGTAGAGTGTTAGATAAAGATGGATGAGGTGAAGCGCCAACTATTGAATTAGCCAGGGAAATGCGTTGTGCACACTAAGCCATTGTCTTCTTTCACATGTAATAATGTTAGGTGATGGTGGATTATATTGGAAAAGAGTCAAGAGTGACCAGAGTAAAACTTGGCACTAATCAATTAAGCCTTTGACTTTTGGTGTGATCCATGTAGGAGGGTGTAGATTGCCTGGCTGTGGTCCTTAAGATGCTAAGGAGCAATGTTTATCGACTCCTTGTGACAACGTTTAGCTAGAACTCAGTTATGAGGACTGTGATATGCCGTGTTATAACTAAATTACTGAGAATAGCTTTATTTTCATGTATCTTACTTTACTTTACTTCGGCTATCTCCTACGGGAGGATGAGCCGGCTTCATGAATTCATGAAGTTTCATGGGAATTTGGTACGAGTGATGTCCCCAGAATCGCTCGGCCTTTTGTTTGAGAGTGCAGCTCTAGCCTTTACACAACCAAGTGTGACCTACAAGGCAGTAGGAGTGGAGTAAGGAGTCCACTATCCATTGGCAGCCGGTGACCGGAGTTCGGTTCATACGCCTTTTTGAATGGGGCCAGACATCCAACAAGCCCTTTGTCCATATGTCTGCCGGTGAGCTCCAGTGAGCTTCATACGCCAGTCGTTGGAGGTTTGGAATCAGGGTTTAGCCATCTCCCCTAGACTGTCATCCAATGGACAGTCAATCCGGTGAAGAGCGCCGGGCATCCGCTTTCGCCCTCTCACTTTGGTGAAAAACACCTCCACCACGTGAAGGCAGTGAGTAGGACTTCCTCAGGAGAGGCTATGTAAGACGCCCGGTGATATGGGAGCATTTCAAGAGGTGTGCGGAGGGGTGGCCAACCCGCAGCGCAAGGCACCCACCCCCGACCATCCTGAGGCTTTGGATCCAGTTATGAGGGAGACTTACTGTGTAAAAGTTGATGGTTCTATTCAGTTCAGTTGCCCAGGCTGAAGTAGATGGCGCAGGATCCATAAACTGGAACTATTGGTTGAAAGATGACTGTCTAAGCCCATAAGCCACATCTCTGCCACAGTGTATTTATTCCTTGTCATCCAGCTTCTGCAAACATTCACTTCCTTATTTCATATGACTGACTGACTGACCGATCATTGTGGCTTCTGTCTGATGTCTCAAAAATGTGGCACATTCGTTTGATGATGCAGCTTACATGTTTATGTGTTACATTTATTGTTTAAAGGCTAGTAATACAGACTGCTTATTCGGACCGGACTCTAGTAGGATGAACAGTATTCTAGGTTGACAGTTGAATTTCTCCTAGTTTCCATTGGAATAAGCTCTGGCTCATCGGTTCAATCACTTTGATTCCCAATAATTTGACTATGCATTTGAATCCCATTTTCGTCTACTGAAATTTGAGCACCTATAAATGTCACAACTTGAAATTGCAGTTTATTTAATTATGTGCCCAGTATATTGCTATTATCACATGCTAATTGTATCATTATTATATAAAATTTTAACACTGATTTCTATTTAATAATAGGTTTCCTATCAAACACCAAATCATGATCAACCTACAGTCCATTTGAAAGTTACCCCACCAAAACTCTCGCCTTATTCAACAAGTACAACTTCAGATGATCGTTTCAAGCATATTGTAAGTAGATTTTTATATATTATAGTTTGATTCCACACAGTATTTTTGGCACAAGTGTTTGATATCGGTAGCCCAAATTTTGCAGGCCGACCATTGATGTCAGGTGTGTGTCGGCAGGGAATCGAACCCCGTACCGCGTGCATAGTCGACGAGAGTCCTAACCGCTGTACCACCGACACACTGTTGGGAATTAATTTTAGTTTGCATTTTATTCTGATTTTCAAATATTTTATTCCTTTGCCTTCCGAGAAGAACATAGGGCTTCAAGTTTTGAGCTTTGGAGTGTGGTTGTTAGCCTTCTGTCTGCCTGTCTGTTTTCGACATAGAACTTTGCACTGATGTGCAGCAGTTCAAGTCGCCACACTCCATGTTGTTAGCCTTACTTCCAACCTCCCCTCTTTACTCCGGGCGTACTGCCGGCCAGGTGAGGTTTATAAGTGCGTCGGCCGGAGGTCGAACCCCAGACGACGTGCGGCGTAGTTGGCGGGGATTCTATCACTGAACCACCGAAGCGTTATACTGATTGCATTGATTTAATCATCTAGTACGTTTTTATGTTATATTCGTGTATGGTAATCATCTGATCGGCGTCATTAGTTTTAGGATACCTCACAATTTATAAACCTTTGCTAGTCAAACCAAAAGAGATTTCTATTTTAAGTGATTAGTTACAAGTTATTCTAAGTGTGTTGAATCGGCATCCATCAACGTGTAAATCTGTTGCTTTTTTCTGTCTGTAATGAAATGAAATCGACTCAACTTGTACACAATAACTTCCAGATGTCTGGGTAATTCTCATGTGATAAATATCGCGAATTGGCAGAAGTTGGAATTCATGAGCCGGTGTATTGGGTCGCAGTGGCTGAATGGTCTACAAGCTCGCCCTGTAATCGGAAGGTCCTGGGTCCGAATTTCAGTGGGTGCGCACTGATGAGGAGTCCCGAAATAGGACAAAACAGTAGTCCAGTGGTTGTCTAAGTGATGTCAGCTTGTGATCAAACGTTATCTGATAATAACTGTGTCCCTCGTATTATTCATATTCAAGTCCAACAGTAGAAGTAATGGTTCGTATGATATTATCAATATTTTTTTTAATGAAGAACCAGATACATCCACAGTTAATCTGGTTGATCCATTGGTGACCTGCTCTAAAAGTGCATGTTTTAAAAAATTGAAATCAAACAACAATGAGAGCTATTCAGTTGAACCACTTAACCACAGATGTTTGCTCTCTACTCTCTCCTGTGTTAAGAGTGGTAGAATATGGTGGAAAATATTGAGATGAGGCGTAGAATGTTAGGTAAGAAGAGTAAGAGTCAATCGATGAGGTTGTCAAGGTGAATCGATAGAGATAACTAGGACACGTGTTGCGCATTCCGAGCCGCCGTCTTCCCCAACAAGCAATATTAGCTGACATTGAATTAGGTTGAGGAAGAGTTAGAAGTAGTGGTTAAACCAAAGCCTACAATCAGCCCATGAAAACACCGACAATTGGTTTGAGTTGTAGACTGCTTTGTCACAGTCCTTGAAATGGTAAGAACCATTGGCGGGGATTATTGGTGATGTGGCTCAAAATCATTCCCATTGGCACAGATGCATGCATTCCACTAAACTGTCATATTTCTTTCCATGTTACTGTCCCTTCTTCCCCACATTTCTGTTTATTATAGTACTGTTGAGTCTCTTGTTTACTCTTCTGTCTACCCTTATGTCGTACTACATGGAGTGTGACAACTTGAAGTGCTACACTTCTGTGCAAAGTTCTGTGTTAAAACTTAGTGACTTAATTCAGAAATAGCAATAACACCAAAAGCCATATAAATGAGGTACACCACCACAAGTGTATAGTCATAATTTCACCAAACTACTTGTCGGCATCTCTAACTTTTGCTTAGAGTTTCCAAATGACACTTATAAATGAAATGTATTTCATTGTTAATAGCCTGGAAATATAACTGAGCCGCATCTATAAAGGTTCGGGTAGTATGACAGCTTAGTTTAACGTGACGTAAGAGCCTCTATTTTGTTGGTGAGTTGATGAGTAGTGATTGACTGACTGACTAACTGGTTTCAACATAGAACTTTGCACCGATGTGCAGCAGTTCAAGTTACCACACTTCACTCAGCATACAAAGCCAGAGAAGAAAGTAAATAGAAATGCAAAATAGAGACAGTAGACAGGGATATGAGACAAAAGGAATAGCAATATCGAAGAACATTATAGTTTTATTGGATATTATAGTCACAAGGAGTGGATGCATCTGCGCTAGCCAGTCATTGAGAACGATGAGTTTGAGTCATATCACCGATTGTCTGCAGCCTTCATTGGTGTTTACCATCCCGAGGACCCCAACCAAGAAGTCTACATCTTCCCACGTGGCTCAAACTAATTGTTGTGGATTTCATTTACTGATCAGGCCATGTTGACCGCCGCCAGCTCTTTTCCAACCGGACTCTATGGCAGCTAACATTGCCCTTTGTCGAGGAAGGCGATATTTAGGCAGGTGTTAAGAAGACTGCATTTCATCAGTGTCTTTATCTAGAAGGACTATGTCATCTGCGAGATTATTCCCTGGTAATAAATCAATCCCTGAGTCTCTGAAGTGAGTTAGGGTTAAGTCCATTAGTACATCTATGATGAAATTGAATAGAAATGGGGATAGTGGGCATCCCTGTCGGACACCACTAGTTATCACCAGTTCAGTGACAAATTGCCATAAGCTCTCACCTGGCCGGCTGTATGAGTTCGAGTAGAGTGCCTTGATCAGTGCAATGTATTTTCTCAGCATTCCTTTTACAGCCAAGCATCGCCATAGTACCTCTCAGTCGACAGAATCGAATGCCGCCTTTAGGTTAAGAAATATAACGATTGTTGGACACCGGTAGGTGTGCCTATGTTCCAGAATCTGTCGAAGGGTGAAGATATGATCAATTCACCCTCTTCCTGGTCTAAAGCCTGCCTGGTTCTCTCGTGTTTGTTCATCCCGTGGACCACTTAGTCTACGCATGGTTATTGAGTCTAGAACCATATTAGTCAAGCTAATCCCCCTGTGATTATCACAAGAAGACTTGTCTCCTTTCTTGTATGTGGGGATAATCAATGACTTACACCAACCCGACTGGACTTCCTCTGATTCCCAGACGCCTCCTAGTATCTCAGTTAACGCAGACAGTAAGCTATCTCTGGAGTCATTCCATCAGGTCCTGCTGCTTTGCCTCGTCTCATATTAGTGACGGCCTTAGCAACCTCAGTTAGGGACGGACGACCTGTGTTTATATCCTATTCAGGGAGGTGTTGGATGTTTGGTAAGTTGAGTGTGGCTGTAGGCCAATTAAATTGCTCCTCAAAGTGTTCTTTCCAGCGTTCCAGTCGTCTATCCTGGGAGCTAATTATAGTGCCATTTTTCTCAGAGATTGTTTCACTTATCATTTGCCTTTTCCCACCTGTTTCCCTGATAAGCCTAAATAGTTGTCTGGTGTTACCAATCGCCGATGCCTTTTCCATCTCCTTTGCTTTTGTCACCCACCACTATTCACAGTCGTTACGAAGACTTCTTGTTAGTTTTATAGCTTTCGCTCCTCATCATAATCGGAGCTCGCTGGAATCAGTCTTCTTGCGTCAATCAGTTCGGATGAGGTGGTAGAGATCCACTGGCTCTTACTAACTTTTGGTTACAGCTTATTAACAGCTTTTACAGCTGTGATTGGTTAGATATTTATCTCTACTTTTGCTTTTATCATTTTTATATTAACACTACCTTCCTTTTTCTTTTTTACCCTACACAGTGCCCTCATCCAAGATGTGGTCGTAGATATCAGGCTGAAATAGGCCTTCTACGTCATCTGGTTAAATATCATGGTGAACAGATTGAATTACCTCGAAGAACTACTTCTGCAGCCAATCAACGTTTGGTTAGACGTCCAGCTTCAGAGGAAAGAACTATTACTTCAGTCGGATTTGATGAGGCTGACGAATTAGTAGTGAGTTTCTTTTTTTCTCTCTCTTCAATTTCTCACTCGTGTAAAACTTTTAATTTATCGTTGTTGTTGTTTTTTTGTTTTTTTTCATCGAAGAGTGTAAGCGCAGTTCCACATTAGGAAATATTCATATCATGTCTTGAGTAGTAATCAACTAAATATGATTTTTGGTTGGAGGATTTCATCATGAGCTGACACACTGGTTAGAGAACCATTGGAAAACCTGCAAGGAGTATCTACCAGACAGCTGTTTCGCCAGCCCAGTTTGAGACTCGTCAGCAGTACGCACCCACTCCGCTGGGGTTCGAACCCAGGACCTTCTGGTTACAAGGTTAGTGAGCTCCGTAGGCCATTAAGCCACTGGGACCCAATGCGTGAATTCTAACTTCTGCCAATTCACGACATAGCACGATCACTTCTCAATGTCTTCTTCGATGATGAAATCCTCCAACCAATCAAACAAAATCCCTACAAAATCAATACCTGAATTAATAACTTTTTTCTTATTCCTATTCTCATTGTTGACGTCTACTGAAATTCACACTGTCCATATTTACTGCTTTTGTGGTAATTTCCCTTCTTTCTGTTCATTCTTTGCGTTCTGGATTGGACACAGGACTTCGAGCATTTGAAGTTTCAGAGTAGCAACGGTATTTCTTTTTTTAATGGATGGGACTGCTGGCTTCATATTGAACCTGCCCTATTTTTTGCGGCTTACTGTCGGTTACTAAACTAGGCGAGAGGTTTAAGAGTGGTGGTATGTCAGGGAATCGAATGTGGATCTCGTGCGTCGAACCACTAAGCTCACTTTTTATTGACACTTGGTCCAAAAAGTTTTTAGAGTAGTTTTTACTTCTGATTACGAAGGGATGGGAATTAAAAACACTGAGATGATTTAGTCTATCTGGGTGTATTGTGGTGGTGGTAATGGTGGTGTCCGGCTCTTGTGGGGAGGGGATGAGTGCCAATAAATTGTTATATTAGTTAAAAAAGTAGGGAGATGCAGACTTCCGGGTTGGAGCCCGCCCTCGGGACTCTAAGAATCAATAGTTGGAGACAATAGGTGACATGGCTGAAAATCGTTGTCAATGGCTTACGCAGATGTATTCAGTCTCTGTAATCTTTCATATTCCTTCCTAACATTACTCATTCTGTTTCACTCTTATACTTGTGAAAACTCTATTGATTCTCTTCACTCATTCTCCTGTCTACCTTTGTGTGCTATTTGGAACGTGGCGACTCGAAGTGCTGCACTTCGGTGCCAAGTTCTATGTTGAATCCAGACAGACAGATATTAATTAAAACACTACTCGAACTTACGAAGTTGCATATAAGCATACGGAGAGTTGTCATCTAAGGTGATGACAACCTCTGGTGTGATCCAAATATGCCTAATGTCATTATTCCCACGTAATTCCATTATAGAAGTAATTATAGATGTAACCACCCAGGAATTGACACTGCCATAAAAAGAATGCAAACAATAAAATACTTTACAGGAAAGACACTGTCAGAATGCAGAGTATTCTATACACTCTGGGTACAAATCTGACTGTGTTTGTCATGCTGTTGAAGGTTTACGGAAATGTGACCATTTCACTTCTTTTGGAAATTGCAAAAACCGTAATGGATTACTAGTTCATGAGAGTAGAAGACATGAAAACGCCGGTTAGCTGTCTTTGATCATTGGCAGCTGTGTTCTATCTCCCGTGTTTGGTGGTGGTATAATAGGGTGAGCAATATTGAGGTTAGGCGTAGGTAGAGTGCCAGGTAAAGAAGGGAAATCAATGGACGAGGCTGTGAAGTTACATCGATTGAGATGGTTAGGACATATGTTACGCATGCCTGCCTAACCATCGCCTTCCTCGACAAAAATCAGTGTTAGCTGACATAGGGTCAGGTTGGAAAAGTGCCAGTGGTGGTCAAATCAAAACATCGCTTCATCATTCAATGAAATCCACAACAGTTTAAGCCAGCCAGTCAAGTAGGGAGGGAAGTGTAGACTTCCTGACTTCCTGGTTGGGTTCCTCGGGACGGTAAACACTAATGTAGACTGGAGACAATCGGTGATATGGCTGAAACTCATCGTTCTCTAAGGCTGGTTAGCGCAGATGCATCCACTCCTTGTAACTTATATTACCCAAGAAAACTATATTGTTCTTCGTTATTACTATTCCTTTTATCTTATATCCCTGTCTACTGTCTCTATTATGCATTTCGTCTACTTTCTTCTCTTGTTTTGTGTGCTGCATAGTGTGGCGACTCGAACTGCTGCACATCAGTGCAAAGTTCTATGTTGAAACCAGTCATTTGACAATACCTCAACCTGAATACAACACAATGCTTGTTTAGGACTTTCTAACAATCACCTTTGGGAACCTGCAGCACATGCAAAACAGACATTATACATTCAATGTACATAATATAAGTGACATGATACTATAGAGAATGGTTGGATTCCAGTCTTTTTGGACTACTGTCTTGCAGTCATGCATTCGTTGAAACACCTGCCAAGGGCATCCCATTCACAACAGTGGGTATTCCTACGAAATTGGAAGGGCTGGTCATTGTGTAACGACAGAAGACAAGAGCCAGCAACATATCGTTTATTGAGAAAATCAACAGATATTTATAGATTTTTATGTACATTATTGTTAGCGGAGAAGCAACGTCTTCTGATTGGCTGTTTCCTTACTGAAGGTTATACTGTACTGCTTGTGACTCTTTCTTAGAAAGTTAAGCCATATATTTGCGAATCGTATTTGCACACGTTAAGTCTGCTGTGATTTGTTGGTGATTTCCTCAAGGTTAAGCTTTGTTGTTGTTTTTTTCTCGTGACCCTGATTCGGGACGTAAATTGTTGCCTACAATTTTTGGCTTGTAGCCAGCCAGCTCTCACCACAAATGGGCTATGACTCTAAACCTTTCGTATCCAAATGAGTTCCAAGGTCTAAGAAGAATCAATGATGTATGATTCTGTTTTTACTTACTGGCGACAGGGAATACTCAGTTGTCGATATTACTCTACTGCTTTCTAGATCGTAGGGTGGTGTTATTCTAGAAAGTTGGTTAACCTTTGAATGACTATAGATTCTAGCCACTTTGCTTTTAGATCCAGTGGAATTTTCAAGTTTGTGAAAGTTTAGTGACAGTTAATGGCTAGTTTAAATTCGTCATTATAAGCCTGCCTGCTTTCGACATAGAACTTTGCACTGATATGCAGCAGTTTGAGTCGCACTTCGGATTGCACTTCGGATTGTGAGGGCGATTGTTACTTCCCGGCTGCCCACACCGTGGAAGTTGGTTGCGTGACCGCAGGGCCCAGGGGACAACTGCTTGAGGGCGGTCACACACGGCCTGTTTTTGTTTGTTGTTTTTCGTTTGGTGTGTCTCAGTAGCACACTTATCACTTCTGCCCTGTGACACGGCAGCAGGAAGCGCGGTCGTTGTTAATCCGGGCCCCGACCGATCCGGAATGATATTTTGTGATTTATTTGGAGTCATAGGATTGGATTGGGTAACTGCTTTTAGTCTAACCACTATCCAAACAACCTTTCTGGCATGGTAGGACCTACAGGAACATAAGTCTCAGCCAGTATAGCTTGTTGGGTCATTGCGGTGTTCAAGTCTGACCACCACGTCAAGGTAGCAGCTTTCGGTCGGGAGTCGCCACACCATGCAGCACACAAAACAAGAGAAGAAATGAATAATAGAGACAGTAGACAGGGATATGAGACAAAAGGAACAGTAATAACGAAGAACAATATAGTTTCATTGGGTATTATAAGTCACAAGGAGTGGATGTATCTGAGCTAGCCAGCCATTGGGAACGGTGAGATTGAGTCATATCACCGATTGTCTCCAGCCTACATTGGTTTCCACCGTTCCGAGGACACCAACCAGTCAGGAAGTCTACGCTTCTCTCCCTACGTGACTGGCTGGCTTAAATTGACTATTGTGGATTTCATTGACTGGTACTATGTTTTGGTTTGACTTTCGGTAGCTCTTTTCCAACCTGAATCTATGTCAGCTAGCATTGACCGTCGGTCGAGGAAGGCGATGGTTAGGCAGGTATGCGTAACATATTTCCTAACCATCTGTCAATCGATGTAGCTTGACAGCCAGGTCGACTGATTTCCCCTCCTTACCTAGCACTCAACTTGTGTCATTATAAGACTTAGCGATTCGTTGGTATATATTCGGTTTTTAGTCTTGGTGTTAGCCGACCTAGGATTCGATTAGAAAATAGTTATGGCTGGTTGAAATTCATGAGTCACACATAGGTTAATGCAGAGTACCCGATAGTGGAGGTGAGTGATGTGGCTGAAAATCGTTCTCAAACAACTCAAATGCATTCATCACATCATGTTGTTGTTGTTTTTTTACTTCTGATGTAATCCAATATCACCCACACATTTCTTGCAATTATGCAATCATCAAATTATTCTATATATTTTTTTTCATTCTGCTATTAATTTTTAGGATAAAAATTCTTCCAAACCAGAAACATGTCAAACCAAAATACTCCCACTCTCACTCCATTCAAAGAATTTATTAGAGTCTAACCAATCATCAGAAATCAAAATAATGAACTATAACAACTCTCCGTCTATATCGTTTGAACCAACTAAAGTCAATGAGTACACTTCAACTGTTGACTCTTATGATAAGTTGAAAGATATTTCCTCTTTGTCAAATAATGGTATTGCAATGATATGTTCAACTGCCACAGTTACTACTCCACCAAATCCTGCAAATACAACGTCTGTTTCTATTCCATCAATAGGTAGGTTTTTATAACTTTGTTTTATTGTTTCATTTGCCTGTTCATGTTCATATCTTTTGTATTGAAGTAGCTTCTGTAGTGAGGATGTGATTTTTCATTTCATAAGCTTTGATAAAGAAATAGTTCTTTGTAGCTTGAGGAACACTCGAATTACAGTCAAATGGGACCTGCCTAGGCTCGAGTCCCACACCATCTACTTCATTCTAGCCAGCTGGGTGGTAGTAACATTGGCATATAACTTACTTACTTACTTTACTTCGGCTATCTCCTACGGGAGGATGAGCCGGCTTCATGAACATCTCGAATCATCGTTTGTAAGAGAGTTCATGAAGTTTCATGGGAATTTGGTACGAGTGATGTCCCCAGAATCGCTCGGCCTTTTGTTTGAGAGTGCAGCTCTAGCCTTTACACAACCAAGTGTGACCTACAAGGCAGTAGGAGTGGAATAGGGAGTCCACTATCCATTGGCAGCGGGTGACCGGAGTTCGGTTCATACGCCTTTTTGAATGGGGCCAGACATCCAGGACATCCAACAAGCCCTTTGTCCATACGTCTGCCCGTGAGCTCCAGTGAGCTTCATACGCCAGTCGTTGGAGGTTTGGAATCAGGGTTTAGCCATCTCCCCTAGACTGTCATCCAATGGACAGTCAACCCGGTGAAGAGCGCCGGGCATCCGCTTTCACCCTCTCACTTTGGTAAAAAACACCTCCACCACGTGAAGACAGTGAGTAGGACTTCCTCAGGAGAGGCTATGTAAGACGCCCGGTCATATGGGAGCATTTCAAGAGGTGTGCGGAGGGGTGGCCAACCCGCAGCGCAAGGCACCCACCCCCGACCATCCTGAGGCTTTGGAGGCCTATAACCCTAATAGATGAAAAGAAACCTCCTGCTCTGGCTAACTGTGTTCAAACCATATGGAATTGGAAGTTTCTATTCACTGATAGGTTAATGCGTATGCAAGCCTCGAAAGCGACATCAGTTTCCATGAGGCTACGGATAAGCGGAGAAGTGAATTAGTTTAAGTATACAAGGGAAAGTACAAACCATTAAGGAACTCAAACAAAGTGTTGAAATAAACCAGAAAAGATTTTAAAAAAGTAACAAGAATAATTAAATAATAGTGACAGTCTGGAATACCGTAAACAGTAAACATTTCTTTAGAATTTAACTGGTGGATGGTGGGTGACTAGCAGTGGAATCCAGGATAACGCGCATTTTGTCCTTTACTTGGGACTCGTCAGCTAGTGGATGTACCTGCATTTCCCAGCGAGTGATGATGTTCCCACCGAGGCTCGAACCCAGTTCCCATAGTTTCCAACGCCAAAGCGTTATCCACTAGACCACTTGAGCCACGAGAGCCACCTCTTGTGTAAGGAGTCATATTAATTTAATTTTTATTTTAGATTTTCCCGTCGATTGATAAAATAAAAATTAAATTAATATGACCCGTTGCACAAGAGGTGGCTCCCGTGGCCCAAGTGGTCTAGTGGATAACGCTTTGGCGTTGGAAGGCCTCGGTGGGAACATCATCACTCGCTAGGGAATGCAGGTACATCCACTAGCTGACGAGTTCCAAAGAGGACGTAATGCGCGTTATCCTGGATTCCACTGCTAGTCACCATCCACCAATTAACCTCTAATTAAATGCCCAGACATCGTCGAAGCATCTGCACAAGAAGCCGACATGTCAACCTGAGACCGAGCACTTCGATCCAATCAGTCGACGCGAAAATCTAAAGTAAAATATTCAATTAAGTAAAAATTCCTGTTTTTTTCCATAGTTGGTTTGAAAGGGTTAGTTTTGTTTTTACGAGTTGATCACGGATTGTTATCAGTTAGAGAAAAGTTGGAAACCAGGCAGGGAGTAGTAGACAACCAGCTGTTTCATCCTAGTTTGGGAATCATTCGCAATACGCACCCACCACAAGAGGTTCGAACCCAGGACCTTTCAGTCACAAGGCAAGCTGACTCGTATACCATTCAGCCATTGGGACCCGACTCCTCAATGACCAGTCCATGAATTCTAACTCCTACCAATTCGTGATGTAGCGCGAGTGGCACCAACCAATGTCATCGATGGGAAATCCATTCTCACACTTGACTGGATGGACCTCAATGGTCACAAGTTTTCACTAGAACTCCAGGAAACGCCGTCCTGTAGCAAGTCACTAGTGAGCATCAGATTAATTTTCTGTAGTTGGTTTGCAAGGATTAGTTTTGTTTTCACGAGTTGGTCACGGTTCTCTAACTGATATCAATCCGTGATCAACTCGTAAAAACATTTTTGTATCAAAAATGTGATTAGTAGTCAAATTGTAACTAAAGTGAGGGGGGAGGGGCTGAGGATTTGTAAGAGTGTAGTGGTGATGTGTTGTCAAAAAAGAACATAGTTATTAATGTTAATCAACACATAAAGGAAGTTGAATAAGCGCAATACAAGTTACGTAATAAAATGAATAGTTCAATTAATGACTGAGTTGTGATCAGGATGCACATAGGAGCAAAGGAAAACATGGAATTACGTAAGAGTTTTGAAGTCACAAATGTTAGTAGAAGTCAACAATAACCTTAACTTATTTTTATTCTTATCGGAGAAACCTGATGTAAACACAAACACACACATAGAAAATATGAACGCGAGTGTACAGCTAAGAAAATGAATTCGCCGCTGAAAAGTGGCTATTGGCTTCTACTGACTTGATTTTTGTGTGATTGTTTTTTTCTTCTTTCTTTTCTAACTCCCTATAACATTTGTAATGTTTAAAACTCTTACGTAATTCCATGTTTTTGTTTTACTTCTATGTGAATCCTAATCACAACTCACTCACTAAACTATTCATCTTATTACGTAACTCGTATCAAGGTTTATTCAACTTCTTTTATGTGTTGATACACACTAATAACTATTAAAACAATTAGTCCCTTTGATAAATTTGAATAAGGCATTTAGAAGACAAATTTCGCGAGATGATATCGTCATTTCATAGTTTTTTTACAGTAAGGATAGACCACATTTAGAAAAGACAGCTTCTGTACCAAAGAAAACTATCTTTATTAACTTACCATTCAAGGGTGATTATGCAGTTGACAGCTAGCTCAAAGACACTTTTCGGTCAGCCATCAAACGCACATTTTACTCCGCATCTCTTTTACCCTCACATGCCGAACATTTTCGATCCCTGTACTTATGATTAAACGTTGAAATTCTATGGATTCTACTTCAAACTGTATCTACAAGTTCACCTGCAGTTGTGGTGATACCTATATAGGTAAAACCAATAGAATGTTCCAACGTCGTCGACACGAACACTTTCCAAAATGGTTATTAAAACACATGGAAAATCCCAATGCAATTCATCTGTATGGAAATCCAGCAGCATCCGTTGCAAAGCACTTATTAATATCAGATCACGAAATCAATATTAATGACTGTTTCACAATTATTTCATCATATAACTCTAATTCAAGGTTGGTTATTGAAGGTGATGGAAGCACTTTAGATTAATCACATAGAGCCTAAACTGTGTGTACAAAAAAGCACAATAGACGTTAACCTTCGCCTACCATGAACTACTTGACCTGCTTAAATATGATTGGTCATTAGTGTGTACTTTTGTTCTATATAACTGAGTAAGTCATACATTTTAATTTCATTATTATTTTTGCGAGTCGATCACTTATTGATATCAGTTAGAGAACCATTGAAAAACAGACAGGGAGTACTGGAAAGCCAGCTGTTTCACCCTAGTTTGTGAATCATCAGCAGTACGTACCCACATGGAGTTGGAAGGCAGGACCTTCCGGTTACAAGGCAAGCTCGTATACCACTCAGCCACTGGGACCCGATTCAATGGCTCATGAATTCTAATCTTGCATCCAACTATAGAAAATTAATCTGATGCTCACTAGTGACTTGCTACAGGACGGCGTTTCCTGGAGTTCTAGTGAAAACTTGTGACCATTGAGATCCGTCCAATCAAGTGTGAGAATGGATTTCCCATCGATGACATTGGTTGGTGCCACTGGCGCTACATCACGAATTGGTAGGAGTTAGAATTCATGGACTGGTCATTGAGGAGTCGGGTCCCAATGGCTGAATGGTATACGAGTCAGCTTGCCTTGTGACTGAAAGGTCCTGGGTTCGAACCCTGGTGGTGGGTGCGTATTGCGGATGATTCCCAAACTAGACTGACGAAATAGCTGGCTGTCCAGTACTCCCTGGCTGGCTTTCAATTGTTCTCCAACTGATATCAATCCGTGATCAACTCGTAAAAACAAAACTAATCCTTACAAACCAAATATAGAACATTTATTTTTATTGTGAACCATGTTCATTGTAAAGCGATTTTAAAGAAACTGCTAAATGACGACATCATCTCGCGAAAGTTATCTTCTAAATGCCTTATTCAAAATTAATAATTATGTTGTTTTGACAACAAATCACTACTACCCTTTTATCAATCCTTACCCCGCCTATTTACAATTTGATTACTTGTCACATTTTTGAAATATCTTGACAATAATAACCCTAATTTATTTTTATTCTTATCGGACAAATTTGATGTGCCGACACAGAAAAATAAGAGTATGTATAATTGCAATTGTACAGTTAAACGAATGCATCCGCCACCGAAAAAAAACACTTTACTGAACTACGTGTTTTGTTTTCATCAATGTCTAGATGGAGATTATTCGTGAATATCAGTATCACTGTGAAGTCTGCATTAGCTTCCACGGCTAATAAAGTTTCTTAACAATAAATGATCCCAATAAAAGAAACTGTACAGTTTTGTGGATATAACGTGATTTTACGTTTCGGAAAAGTACCTACTGACTGGAAGAAAGGCCACCTTGTCAAAATATCAAAGAAGGGTGACTTAAGCCTCGCCGACGCAGGTGATGTAGATAACCAACTAACAGCAAAACTCACCAATCACTATCCTCGAGAGAGATTTGAGAGCACCGTTTCAACTATGGGTGGTAAGGTTGAGGATATCAAA